ACGTACACACACACACTCTTTGCTCAGGCACACACACACACACACGCACACACACAGTTGCATACAGAGACACATGCACACAGACAGACACACAAGGGTGTGCAAAAACAATCACCACACATACACAAGCACACCCACAGAAATAGACACACATACACAGACAGGCATGCAGACACACACGCACACACACACACACACACACACACCCATGCAGCCTACGTAAACACACATTGTTACTGTGACATCTGCTGACTGTTTTCAAGGCCACAGGGAGGGGTGGTGTTCACTGGCTCAGAGCTCTGACTTTAACCACAGTCTGTCCTGCATACCCAAGACACAAGATCTGTACACAACTAACACTATTTGTCCACCCCCAAAACAATACACACATCCACCACTATCTGTCCACATCCAACATAATACATACACATCTAACACTTTCTGTACACATCCAACATAATACATACACATCCAAAACTATCTGTACATATCCAACACTATATGTACACATCCAACACTATTTGTACACCTTTAACACAATACATATACATCTAACACTTTCTGTACACATCCAACCCTCTGTACACAACAATATATATACACAACTAACACTATTTGTACACATCCAACACTATCTGCACACAACTAATTCTATCTGTACACAACTAACACTATTTGTACACATCCAACACTATATGTACACATATAACACTATCTGTACACAACTAACACTATCTGTACACAACTTACACTATGTGTACACAACTAACACTATTTGTACGCATCCAACACTATATGTACACATATAACACTATCTGTACACAACGTACACTATGTGTACACAACTAACACTATTTGTACACATCCAACACTATATGTACACATGTAACGCTATCTGTATTATTTTTTGTAGTCTTTTGAAAGGGACAAATACAGGACTACTAATGGGGCACTACATCATCATTGAACTCTTTGGTCCTTACATTGTCATTACTTATTTAGTTGGAAAACAGGAGTGCATATCCATTATTTTAAAGGATGTGAATCCATTGTCTACAAACCATGGGAAAAGTCTGTTCGACCAATCAGGTCGCTTCCTGGGCGGAAGGGTCTGCTCTTCCTTCATTAGAGGAAAATTCACATTTGGGCACCACTCTGGGCCAAAAACTGTTTGAGATCATAAGACGAACCTCTGGGTTGTGCTAGTTAGCTAAACTAGATGGTTAGCGATAGTCAGCGCCAAAAAACTAAATTAGTTATAGATACATACCTCGTCTTTTTCCACATCTTCGTCGACCTCAAACAGGTGAGCGGCCAGCTTCTCTGGCCTCAGCACTTTACTGGGGGAGGAAAATACCAGGTCAAGTTCACCATTTTGCTTCAGTTAGTTCTAGTCATTCCACAATCAGTCAGTCAATGCCTTGTGACCTGATTACAAAAAAAGTAAAGTAAATAAAGTCACATGACATGTCGATATGTCGTTGATTCGGTGACCTCATACATTACATGCCATGTAAACAAACTCTTTGTCCATTGATTTATATTAAAGATCAGTTTTACTTCATCATTGCTTTAGTTGGGTTTTTTTTGCCCTTGAGAGATTTAGATTTTTGGGGTTTGTTTTTATAAATCCTATAAAAAAATATAAATGTCCAAGATTCAAAATTTCACATTTGAACTTCTGCATCCTCTTATAAACTTGGTCTATCCTATCATTACTCTGTGTCTCTTTGTGGTTCTCTTTTGTTTCTCAAGGCCAAACCAAAGACGTCAGACGTCTTTAGATTTCAGTAGCCTGGCAGCCCAAGGTGGAAAACTCAAGGTTTACAAATTAAAAGTCCTCCTGCCATGTGTTTCTCTCCACCCACCCACCCACCCACCTACACACACACACTGCACCAGATGATTTCCCTCAACACTTTTTAGCTTGTCAAAAATCCAGATGGTTGACTCAAAATAGCAGCAAGGACTTTTACTTTGTGAAGTCCAGGAAGTCCCACCTCTGCCATGGGTGCAGCTTTAAGTACCTCAGCTGCTGGTCTACTGACAAAGAAACTCAACTCCAGATGTTTGAACTTCAACCCTTCATGGGAAGCTGAGGGATGATTGTGTGTGTGTGTGTGTGTGTGTGTGTGTGTGTGTGTGTGTGTGTGTGTGTGTGTGTGTGTGTGTGCATGCGTGCGTGCGTGTTGGGGGTGGGGGTCGGGGGCTAACAAGGACAAAACATCAAGTTCAAGGCCGAGGGCTTGCTAATTCGTTACGCACTACGACCTTCACAGTTTGGCGACGTGCCACGTGTGTGACGCTAGTTGATCCTCCATTTCCCCCCCCCCCCCCAGCGGGAGAAGTGGTTTCGTCGACGAGATAAGCATTGGCTGGGTTTACCTTCTTTAAGCCGCTGACATCAATTAGCGGTGGCCCCAGAATAGCCCCGGCCGTTGATTACACCTATTTTTTTTGTCGGATAATCACAGGAAATTCTCCATTGTTGATGTTGTGTAAACCTTGCAACTATCGTAATCTCAGAATCTCACAACCTCCTGCCCTTCCACTTCCTCCTCCTCACAGTGCTCCTCTTCTTCTTCTGCACTATATTTTCTAGCGAAAATTCGTTGGATGCGAGACAAAAGAGCAGCACCTGCGAGTATTGCGCGCTGCGATTTACGACCGCTTGGGACCAACGGGCGCGCGCCAATGCAGGCAAGTGTAGCGCGCAGGTGCGCACACGACTCCCGCCGGATTGACTCGCACGGCTAGTTTTCGAGAGGACATCAGTGCAAAACATTATTTTTTTCCTTTAAATGTGCCCTGTACTCTTTATGACGACATCATCCCATTCAACTGAAAGTGAAAGTCATGTACGCGTGTAGACCTTTTAAGGATGACAAAGCGATAACTTTGGATGATGTTCATGTATGTTTTATGATGTTTTACAGGATGGCTGTTGAATTGACCATTAGTAAAAAATGTACTTATTTGACGTAAAGCTGATTGATGATGTCATAATTTATTTAATTCCTTTAATGGAACTAAATAAGTAATCTTATACATTGATGGTGTTCACTTCAGACACTACTGAATGCAATAGAAATTCTGAACTAAAGCAAAAATGTGAGGGAAAAGGTTGTGTCTCTTCAGTATAATTAGCCTCTATACAGAAGAGAAACAATAGCTGAAATTAGGCCTATGCAATTGAAAGTGATCAAAAAATGGCGGCTTTCCTAAAATATTATTTTCTTCAGACGTCATTTGAAGGTACCCGTCAGACCGTCATCACCTAGCCACACATGTTATCACAACTGAAACACAGAAACACACACACACAAAGAAACAAACAAACAAACAAACAAACAAACAAACGCAGCTCACTTCGGGAGCTGGCGGAAGTTTCCAGAATATTCCTCATACTTGTAACTGACCACGTGCCAGTCGGAGGTATAGGTTTTAATACACTGCAGGGAGAGAGACAAAGAGACAGAGACAGAGAGGGAGAGAAAGGGAGAGAGGAGAGAGAGAGGGAGAGAGGAGAGAGGTTAAATTAGGAGACGTACCACAATACTGTCCAGACAGAAAAGGGGTTTATGACCCTACCTTGGCAAAGAGAGACAACGTTTAAATTCCTTTCCAAGAAAACTGTCTGGGAAAGTTGTCTTTTAAAAACAAAGAAGAGAAAACTGGACCATTCCAGTATGCCTTTTTCTTCTCTGAACACTGGATTACATTACAGACGGTCTAATTAGCACACACACACACATTCATGGTACAGTGTGTGTGTGTGTGTGTGTGTCATTTCATATTAGTCTTGAAATAATCAAGCATGTGACGACAACACTGATGATGATGATGATGATGATGATGATGATGATGGTGATGATGGTGATGATGATGATGATGATGATGATGATGATGATGATGATGATGATGATGATCAAAGTTAGAGAGGATGAAAAAAACACTAAAGTATGTCCCAACTCCTTCATAAAGAGTCCATCTCCAGAAACTTGAGAAATAACCCCCTAAACTTTACACTTCCAATCCAACTGGTCCCATAGCAACAAAAAGAACAGAGGGGGGGGGGGGGGGGGGGGGGTTAGCACCTTCTCATTGTACTAAGGACTCCCAGCTGTTCCAGATGTGATGATGTCATCCCTGGCTCCCCCCACCCCCCCCACCCTTTAACAGGCCCAATCAGACTACACCCAGGTCAGAGGTCAGCAATAACTGCTCCTCTCATCCAACTATGAGACCCCCTTCACACACACACACACACACACACACACACACACACACACACACACACACACACCCAGCCCTGCAGCATCTGGACCACTGCCAGTTGTGACGGTGGGGAGGGGGGGGTTCATGTCGAGGACACAAAGCATTTATGTGATTTCATTCATTCATTTTTTGACACATGCTGTACATCTGTTTCACGTCGAACTGTGCTTGTTTTTGTTAAATAACTATTTGCTATTTAGTCACTTAGCAGAGGCTTACAGTGAATTCAGATACATGTCATTAAGGAGCATGTAGGCGGGTTAGGGGCGTCTTGCTCTTTAGGGGACGCCTACAGGTTAGGCTGCGGACATTCCAGGGATCGAACCCAGAACCTTTGGGTGTGGGATTCGAACGCCCGAGCCACTACATTACTCTGCCCCCCCCCCCCCCCCCCCGCCCCACCAAAGAAATCCCAGGCGGAGGGTGGGAGAGAGAGGGAGAGAGAGGGAGAGACGGATCTACCTCCTGAACAAACAGACAGTCCGCCTCCTTCCTGGCATTCTCTGGCACAGTGGAGAACAGTGTTCGACCCTGACGACGAATGGTGGAGATCTAGGGGAGAGGGAGAGAGAGAGAGAGAGAGAGAGATTAATTTCCTATTCATCATTAACATTACAGTTTACTTGTCCTCACTATTATTTAACATAATATACACCATTTGGCGGACGCATTTTATCCAAAGCGTCTTACAATGCCGTGACTGCATACATTTTGAGCATGGGTGGTCCCAGTAGGAATCGAACCCATACCCCTGGCAATGTTACTGTAATGCCATGCTCTACCAGTTGAGCTAGTCAGTATTTTCTAATCTTCCCTGTGATAATTGTGATCCATACCCATGTTTTATTATTATTGTTGATATTGTTTATTAGTTCATGTACTGCAATGTTCAAATGCTTCTGCGACACAGTGTGTATGCATATACATGTATGTCCTGCTAATGAGAGAGAGAGATATAGATGGGGAGGGAGAGGAAGGGAGGGAGAGAGGGAGGGAGGGAGGGAAGGAGAAAAAGGAAGGGAGGAAGAGGGAGGGAGGGAGGGAGGGAGGGAGGGAGGGAGGGAGGGAGGGAGGGGAGGGAGGGAGACACAGAAGAGAGAGAGAGGGAGACAGAGAGAGAGAGAGAGAGAGAGAGAGAGAGACAGAGAGAGAGACAGAGAGACAGAGAGAGACAGAGAGAGAGAGAGAGAGGGAAGGAGAGCTATAGAGAGAGGGAGAGAGATTAAAAATGCAGATATGAAAAACTGACTCATATAACGCCTCGTCTATCTATGTCTATGTCATGTTTGACCATTTAAGGGAACTGCACCAAAACTTTCTGCTGTCAATCAGGCGTGAGTGAGACCTGCCTGTTTTAGGCTGTTTACTGCTTGAACTGGCTTCCTCTGGGACCAGGGGAACTCGTTCCCATGGTGGTGGTGGTGGTGGTGGGGGGGGGGTCGCAGGTTAATGGAGATGCTTCACTAGTGGGACTTAACCAGCGCCACAAGCTAAATGTCTTGGGACGTTTGCAGTACACGATCTGCGCTCGTTTTTCTTTATGATCAACACTAATTGAATACAATGAATTACACAGACGTGTGGCCTACATGTACGAAAGCTAGTCCATGTTTTCATATTTCCAAAACCTTCCTCACGCACTGAGGCCCAAGTTAGACCCATCCTCCCTTCTGCACATCTGTCTGTGTGTGTGTGTGTGTGTCTGTGTGTGTGTGTGTGTGTCTGTGTGTGCGTGCATGCATGTGTGTGTGTGTGTGTGTGTGTGAATGTACAAGTGTGAGTCTGACTGATTTAGGCCCCGCTTTCCAAACCCAGTGATGCAAAACACATGTAGGGTTGGACAGATGGATAGATGTGTGCACGCACACACACACACACACACACACACACACACACACACACACACACACACACACACACACACGTACAGGGCAGGGCAGGGCTGAGTTTGTAATGGGAGACGTTAATCACACAGTGTTTGTGAAAGTATAACATGGAGGTAGAGGTACAGTACATTCGTATCCCACACATAGTTGTTCCTCTACGACGCAGTCGGATTTAGTCTACTCAATTCCATTATTTTATAGTGAGTTATCGACACACACACACACACACACACACACACGGCCAGACATACACACACACCTGCTATATGCAAAACAGGGTCCTGCGGGGCCTAAATCAGTCAGACTCACGAGGTTCACGACTCGAGACAAAGCTGGGTTCATATTTTGCCATTGTCGTGTGATGTAATGAAATTGTGTCTTCCAGATGAGAACTACAAGAGACGTCCACTGAGCCAAGAGCCAAAAAACACTCGAAATGTTGCGGAAATGATAAAAAAAAATCCAGGAAGGAAACACCGATCATTAAAACTACTCCTTATGCTGTCACCTTTATTGTGAAGAAAGTGGGTCAAGTTCAAAGTCAAGTTATTTGCGACTGTTTCTGTTGCCTGTGTGTTTGAACTCTTGCATAGTTTGGACTGGCTGAACAGAACAACAAAGGTGTAATTGAATTAGCGAGCGATTGGTGCATTTCCAGCCACGCTAGCGAACACTCACCATATTAGGCTACGTTCTTGTTCTTTAATTCAGGACACGGCGCCCATGAAGCAAATGCAGCAACGCGAATGTGCTAATTATAGCAAACTGTTAGCATGACGACGCTGAGACGGGCGCTGAACACCGCCGAGCGGCGGGTCTGTGTGGCCGTGAAAATGGTCGGTGTGGCGAGAAGAGCCAAAGGTTATATCGCAGTGACATTTCTTACCTGCTTCACATACTGTATGGCGAGGCTTGACAAGGGGGAGGGGCAACAGCTGCCATTACATCCCTTATAAATGCCGGCCCCCTGTGTTACTTGGCCACTGAGTCAGAAATGAATACAACATCGCACAACCCACACATAGTTGCACTTGACTCTATTGTCTTGGTCCTGTCAAGCTATTGGACTCTAACACTTCCAGTGTTAGAGTCCAATAGCTTGACAGGACCAAGACATTTTCCAAAACTTTCCAACACAATGAAACACTGTGTGGGATATCTTGTCCTTGAGCTTTTGAGACTCAGAGAACACGATATACGAGATATAGGCCTACTTTGTACTCCTCGCCTCCACCGACTCGCTACCTAACACCGTCCACGGCTGCCCAGAGGAGACCTCGACGACCGAACGCAAGAAGAGAAAGAAGAAGAAGAGAGACTTTCTGAGTGGAACGGGGTGACAGGTGTCCTTCGGGATAAACCTCGCTCCCAAAGTCTTAAGAATGCATAACCGCCGTCCCGAACGGCGGCCATCATTTGGCTTTTCGAACAGGAAACCCCAGGATTGAAAGGCGAAACATGTGGAACCACTAAGCCAAACGTTCGGGATGGCGGTTATGGACAGCATTCTTCTTCCGATTCAAACCGGTTGCTGGTTTGAGCCCCCAATGCATAGCAGATTGCGTTGTGTCAGAGAACCAATAGCCCCTTTTAGCCTGTTTAAGGCGGGAATGTTGCAATTCTTTGCGCGTCTTTACAGCAATATTGCGGTATCTCTGTATAAAAGGGGTTAGAGTTACACAGTCTCAAGACACAAAGGCCATCTTTCTTAAGCTCCGCTCTGCTGCATTTTTTTTTGCCAGGTTCCCCCGGTCGCCCCGCTCACGTGGAAGTCGTTGGTGGGGAACTGCAGCATGTCCCGCAAGACGTCGCTGACTATCTGGGTTTTCTTCTGGACCAGGACGCTCTCGTAGTCCAGGGGGTCCACCATCTTAGGCCTGACCTGCAGGAAGAGAGAGAGACAGAGAGAGACAGAGAGAGAGCAGACAGAGTTCAGTGGAAATGGATACGGCAGGAAGCGCTGTAATGAGATTCAAAATGACTTCCGGTGATAGATGCAAATAGTACAACTTTAATTTATGATTTTGTGCAATTCCAGCATTTAAGCTGCAACTTAAGCATCAAAGTCAAAGTGAAATGTTGAGATTTAGAATAATATAATATAAGAATAATTAAATTTAAAAACATTAGAATTAGCGGGTCATTTGCTGTTTGCTCTCACTGTCTCACACACCGTAAACCGCTTAAGAGCACCACTGCACATGCACACCACACATCATACAAATAGCCTCCGTGTTAAAACCAAAAAATGGCTGATCATGCTGATAACATGTAAAGAAGAAGTTGGAAACAGGGAAATATACTTTAGTATATATATACTTTGTTGACACAGAGACACCATATGCGTGGGATTCGTGAAAAGTACAAATTGTTAAAGTATGACAACAAAACAGGGAACTAACCCTGCTGTAAAAATAACTCCCGACTATAATTAATGAGGCCCTATGCATATAGGCTATATTTTATTTGCTATTTTGTTATCTTCAATTTAGTTTGATCGTACATTTAGTTATTTATTTGTTTCGATAATAATTTGCACTATATTATATGCACAATGTAGTTTACTTTAGCTTGTAATAAACTATTTAAATTATTATTATATATTTTTTTTAATTTAATTTAAGCGGAAATTTGGGTTTGGGCACAAAACTGCTGCCGTAATGTTGGGCTCGGACAGAATTTTTCGGGTTCGGTCAGGCCTGATTTTTTGGGCCCGATCAAAGCTCAATTCTGTACAATGAAATTCTCATGACAAGGCAAGGGTCATCTGTGTACTACAACAACAACAAAAAACCAAAGCAGTGATCACAAATACAAAAACAGCTCAAAAGCATTGTAGCGTGATTCTTAATAACAACATACTGGTGGGGTGATATTAGCAGGGATGGTCCCATAAGTCACAAGCCTGAACCAAAAGCAATAGTTATTTAAGGAGCTTTTTGACTGACAGCTGCAGTTATAGGTTCAGAATGGAGTGAGAGAGATGGAGAGATAGCGATAGAGAGGGAGAGAGATGGAGGGAGCGAGGTTCAGATAGAGGAAGAGAGATATATATGTAGAGCTACAGGGAGAGAGAGAGCAGCATAGAGCGAGTGGGAGAGAGGAAAAGAGGGAGAGATAGAAAAGAGTGTGAGAAAGATAGAATAGGAGAGGTAGCTGGAGGGAGGAGAGGGGAGAGAGAGAGAGAGACACACACACACACACACAGGGAGATATATAGAGGGTGGGAGAGAGAGTAAGAGAGAGGGAGGGAGAGATAGAGGGAGAGATATATAGAGAGCTACAGGGAGAGCAGTTAAAGAGCTAGTGGGAGAGACAAAAAAAAGGGAGAGACAGAGTGTGAGAGAGATAGAATCTGAGAGGTCGCTAGAGGGAGAGAGACGGGGGGAGAGAGACAGGGAAAGAGAGATACAGAGAGAGAGAGAGAGAGAGAGAACGAGGGAGAGATAGTGTGAGCAGGATAGAGTGAGAGAGGTAAAGAGTTAAAGGGAGATAGAGCAAGAGGGAGAGAGAGAGAGAGAGAGTTATGAATGGCATTGGCTGTGTGTCCCGTTGTACCAGTCACTGGGTCACAAGCTCACACGCGAGGCCTAAGCAACGACAGCTACTATTGGTCCATTCAGCTTCCTGGATGGTTCTCGCGGCCAATGGGGGAAACATTTCTCAGTTTCTGAGAATTTCCAGAACAGCTCCAGAGTGGTCTCTTCATGCCAGGGTATTGGGAGGCAGAGAGATTGGAGGAGACACTAGGAGGAGTTGAAAGGAGACACCGGTTCAATTTAGGCATCCTTGAGCAAGATGCCCTAACCCCCGACCTGTTCTTTAATGACACGTATCTAAACAAAGATTCACTGTAAGTCGCGTTGGATAAAAGTATACGCTAAATGAATAGCTCACAGCGATGCTA